TTTACTGCGTCTCCCATGTATTTTATTGACACTGCGAATGTCGCATTCATGCTATGAAGGGATATTTGATGAAATGTTTTATGCACCGTGAGATATATTTTTTAAATCATGGGCGTTATTCGTAAGCTCTTTCTAATATATTTAAAATTATGTTGAGCCTCAGAAAGACTTGTACAAGATGGGGATTGATAACTAGACAGAAATATAATAGAGTTAATATCGGGAAAACAGCTATGAGTGAAATGTTTGTGGTAAAGAGTGGGAAGAAAACTTTGAGCAAAATTGCCACCGGTGATGAAACCTGAAATTACTTTTGAGAACTTAAGTCAACCGAAAATAATTAATCGAGAATGAACACAAAACGAGCAAAGCCTACATATTTCTTGAACCAGAAGTAGTGACACGAGTTTTTCTATCCAGATTCCTATTTTCGATTCAAAGAGCCTTGTCATTCAGGCAAATGTGCTTGACTACTTGTGGCAGTTTGTATCTCTAAACTATTGCCAAAAGGTTCAACAACATTCCTGAACAACTTCTAATTGTACCGGTACCCGACATATCCATTAGACCTACCGGAACATAAATCCGCCATTGCGACAGACATTTTGAATGAACGCAGCCTTAAATTTTTTCTAAACCTTCCATACAGACTTGATTTTGTTCCAAGTGATTCTCAAAGATTTGCTAAGGGACAGAGGACTTGAATGCCATGATGCAGTTGGGAGTGGGTTCTCTAGTGAATGAACAACGTACCAAACCAAATTTTAATACAAAATGGCATTTCATGATTAGACTGAAAATGTTAAAAACGTTCATGAGGATTGGTACATTGAAGGAAGACATCGGCGTACTGTTCATTACTAAAGAACTTTCCTGTACAGCGTACTAAAATTCAAAACGGTCTTTGGCATGCAGAATATGCTCTACCACCAACTAAAAGAGTTTCTGACTAGTCACAAGCAAACTTGTATGTAAATCTGTAATAGTGAAAGACACCTGCATGAGACAATATACAACTTGTTCAAAAACAAGATGTTAAAAGAATTTTTTTAAAAAGTAATAGTCAACAACGTACCAATTATTCTCAATGAAATAATTCTAACCCTGAAATTATAGGTTGCTATCTCGAGCAAATTACCTTTACTGATTGCCGTTGTTGGCCTGAGCTGGCAAGATTTATCATCGTTCGACCTATGAAAACAAAATGAATTCGACTGAACGTATCTCTACCTGCATTAGGGTAAACTCAGGTTCTGTCTTCGAACAATGCGTCGGGTTTCAGAAGTTGAGCTAGCAAATGACTCTGCGTTGCAATCAAAGTGGATGTTTGAACGGCACGTGTTTAAGGATGAAACGCTTTTATTACAGGAAATTTCTACAGTGACAATAATTGTCTTTCCCGCTGTAGTAGACCTACCACTGCTGTTAAAGATAACCCTGTGGACAGAAGTTCTGAAAGCCAAAGAAGCCAAAGAACATTTTGTCCAGTGACAACGGTCTCATACATCAATATTCCTTGAGAATTATAGATTATAAAAGAAGCTTCGTTTGATGCAAATAGCCCATCGTCGGTAGGTGACATCACCGCCGTATTAGAGTTCGCTCGCTAACATTACTGTGGAAATTGTTTTATTAGTATGGCTGGCGGCATTATGCATGATTTTGTCTAGGAGAAAATTAGAGTCGGTCAGAGAGTGTATTTTCCCCACCGTCTTCCATCTTTTATTTTTCATTATCACATTTCAACGATGAAAAATATATTCGTTATATCACATATGATTATACAAAAAATTTATTAATTCTCCAACAGAATTACAGCCAAATATATATATATATATATATATATATATATATATATATATATATATATATATATAAATATATATATATATATATATATATATATATATATATACATATTACTGCATTTGTTTGGGACAATATGAACGAGTTTTTCGGATGGATATATTGCATGATCTTGGGAGTGCATTATATCCATACAACAAAACGAGTTCATATTTTCCCATACAAATGCAGTAATCTTTTTTACATGCACATTTTCTTATTCTACCCAACGCTTAATAATATAAACCAAAATACACTACGGAAAGAAAATAAATGTATGCCGTATTCCAAACTAAACACACATGCGTAAATTCATCATTACTGAGCAATATTATTAGTGCGCATGTTAACTCAGCCAAGATAAATTTGAACTTGGTCCGTGCTTGACATAAGTTTAGAAAGAAAATTGCGATTTGGTCTTCTGAAAATTGAAATTTGAGTCATACTGTGAATAAATGAGCATTGAAATAACTGTTCCTTTTCATTTGGAATAAATAGAGTTTGGTATCTGTTTGTATTTGACGAAAAAAAGGTGATCGTATTTCAGTCAGTAGCGTCTGTGTAAATTCTACACGAAATATACATTAGATTGAAGTAGCGAGGTTCACCCTTCGCGCGTGTTGACATAAGCAAGTGTGTTCTCTTTTGTTATTGAAGCTTTGAAATTATAGTGTGGTAAAACTAGGAAGTCTTGCTTTTATTGATAGGTCGATGTGGAATTTTAAGTTTGTTTCATTTTGTGTGCAGTAAGAAGGATATAAATGCATTTGGAATATATTAGAAATCTGTTTCGCAATTTGTAATCAAACTTGTGAACCCATGATATGGCTCATGCAATTTGGAATTGTAGAACTAAGAAAGCAAATTTTGAGATCATTTATGATGTAAAACTATAAGCATATTTTTGGCCATTCTTATTACCAGCTAAGGAATGCAGTTTATGCCTTTTCACTTGCATGTTTTTTGCAAGGACCCTTTCTGTGTCTATAGCTAGCCTAAATCTGAAACATTCTTTCACAAAAGTTAACGCGGAATGCAAAGCTGCTGGTACATAGCAGTCCACTAACCGTCTGCCTATTTTCATTCAGAAACAAATTGTTTGTTTACATTAAAGCGTTCTTGAATGAATGAGTATGAATTGAGAGCGCGAGAGTAAATTATCATGAAATATTGCACGATTCTGACAATATAAAGTTAATAGAGAAAAATGAGCACACACATTAGTACTGGCTCTTTGATCTCATGAACGATTTCTTACTACATTTAGTGTGAAAGATTAAATAAATTTCCTTTTCATGCTGTTAGAATACTTAATAGTTCTAAAAAAATTAGATTAATTATAAGTTTATCCACTCCTTAGACCCTTTTCTTCTGTAGAAACTTATGCAAATTTATCCGCAATTAAAGTCATATTGGAAATCACAATGCGAGGATCAATGATGATGCTTTCAAATAAGTTATATATTCAATTAATCAAAGTCTTTTATTGTAACGAACAGAAAACGTATTTGGAGATAATTGATGACAATTTCTGTAATATTAAGTCAGAATCTGATTAGTACAAAGAGGAACTACAATTTAAATGATTGAATTCTCAAGTTGTCTTGGAACTGAAAACTTAGGACAGACCTGCTCATTTTTCATAATTGTTGCTTACATAAAAGCAAATATCAAGAAATATACTTAGATTACTAGTACTCTTACTACAAATATTGAAGAAAAAATTATATTGCAAGAGAACTGACTACATTTCTAGAAATCGACAGATAATGTTCCTTATCGTCTCTTTTCATTTATACATTGTCTTACTTTACGCAATGTATAATGATAGTTTCCTTACTCATCAGTCTGTTCAAGAAATCGCGAAAATGAAATATAAGTCAGCCTATTACATGTACCTCAATCAATGTAACGTGTATTCAAGAATGCAAGCAGATTGTCTGCAAGTACAATATATATATATATATATATATATATATATATATATATATATATATAGATATATATATATATGTATGTATGTATATCTATATATAGATATATAAATATATAAATATATATATATATATATATATATATATATATATATATATATATATATATATATATATATATATATATATATATATATATATATATATATATATATATATATATATATATATATATCTGCTATGTAATACAACATAAACTTTACTATCTAGTACATTTCAGATAAGAGTTTGCTTTTTAGTTATCGTAATTAACATAGAATTGCAGACAGGAAATAACCACTCCTAGTCATTGTGCTATCCTTGGATATTTAATATATTTTATATGCGAGGTTATCAATTAATTTTATATTAGAAGCATTGTAAACAGCTGCATCTGCGTCATTATCAATATCGAATGTACCGAGAACATGTGTAACTACGACTTGTCGGAAATCAATGGATATGTGCTCTCCACCAATAAATCTCTAATAGGAAATTGTGTGGGTCGGACAGACACTGTGAGAACCACCAAACAGCAGCCGTAGGCAGGCACTATAATAGATTCCCAAGGCAAGAGAAAGATAAAAAAATGACTTGGTTTCGATTCTACAAATGATGAACGAAAACGAATTTTAAATCTCACAATTTACCATATTATTATTTACGTAGTAACTGTTTTTCTGCTAAGTAAATCAAAACGATTTGCATCTAATTAAAGATAAGTTCCCGAAAGTGATCGAATGAAGTACATATATTTAAATACTGTTTCGGATCTATGTTCACAAATATAAGTATCATAAAGGAAGCAAAACTAACAACTTTTATAAAACTTAAAAAAAAATACAATTTAGTTATCAAAATTCGAAATGAAAAGTGTGAGACAAACTACGTAATTATGAAATGAATCCATGCTAGTCCTTTTAAAGGTCTAGGCAAGTCTTAAATGAATGATTTGGATGTTTAACGTAGGTTTGGTATTATTTCAATCATATCTGTACGATGTATGTAGTGTGGCAGTTTGTAGTGATGTCTAACACTGGGTTATAATGCCGCAAACATGTAGCATGATGTCCCACTCAGTCACATTATCCTGACACCAGGCTGAGCAGTCCTAACATTAGCCTCTTAATGCTGAGCGCCAAGCGAAGCAGTTGTTAGTACCATTTTTATAAGTCTTTGGTATGACTCGGCTGGGGATAGTACCCACGACATCCCGCATCTGAGGCGGACGCACCATCCACTAGACCACCGGACCAGAAATGATCCTCCAAAAACTGTATCATTGTCAAGATTGTGATGTCCAGAATTCCTTCGAATAGTCAATAACAATTTCTGAATAATATTATTGGCCAGATAATTAACACTTTTTATCACCACTGAACAGTCCATACAAATACATTTCGTTTCGAAAAACATCTAAGTATACCATATAACACGTCTGTAGACGTGGAACAGGAACACAACAAGTGCGGATGGCTTCAGAAATTGGAAAGAATCTGATATCTTAACTTTCTTCTTTTAAACAGTATATATTGCGTCTGCTCGTCGCAATACACCCAACGTGACATCTTACAATATTGATATTTCGCGAGCTTAGTATATTCATGGGTTCCAAGGGTTGCAGTCGCCAGGAACGGATATGGGAGATAAGCAACCACTTCCGGTAGAAATCCCCCAATGGCTTGCGTCTGTGATAGCCTCTGAAAACCAAATCCAGCTCCAGGCCTTCACGGTTGGCTTAACTACTAAGCCCGGAGGAACCTGTTTAAACTAACTGGAGAAGGGATGGCAGGTGAATTTCTGGCGCCTCAAAACCAGATGCTTCGGGCATATGGGGCCCGTTTACCTTGGGTGTTAGCCCGTCTAGGAGAAGGTAAACTCTGACTTCAAACATTCGCTGCCTTGCGACTATACCCATACATGGGAAAGGCTAAAGGAGTAAACCCCAACAGAAAATCCGGAGACGGAGTCCCTAAGGCGACTTGTCACTGCTTTTAGTGATATCTCGGCAACTCCTGCGACGGCGCTGGTGCCATGACGTATCGGCTTGTCCTTTCCCTTGGATCCATCAGCTGCGTGGAGAGGGGGAGTCAGTTGCATGGTCAACAGCTGATTCTTCATATAACCTTGCCTAGGCTTGCGCCCTGGAGAGGACACTCCAGCTTCGCTTCACAGGGTTGACACAACACGGGAAGCAACAGTTACCGGTTATAAGTCACCACTCGATTGGCGTAGAGTTAGACACCAGGGGTTGCTTCCGAAGGTGGAAGAGACGAACAGATCTCATTGGACAGCTATCGCCCGCCTCAAGTTGGGCAGCCCTCAGCTAATAAGGTGCCATCCCGCCACAGCTCGCCTGCCTTGCTGTGTGCGAAGGGCTTAAGATACCTGAGTACCTGACAAGCGGGCTGCAACTACAGAACCAAGAAAAAACAAAAGAAAAGCAACAAGGAAATCAACAATCCTGAAGCTAGGTACCTGGAACGTCCAGACTATGCTGACAGGGCTTTCAGATGATCTCAAGGCAATCAGTGATGTTCGAAAGACTTCAGTCATCAACGACGAACTCGCAAGACTCCATGTTGATATCGCCCCACTTCAAGAGACACGGCTACCAGAATCTGGGTCCATCAGAGAAAAGAACTACACGTTCTTCTAGCAAGGAATGAGCTCAGACGAAGTTAGGGGGTATGGTGCTGGTTTTGCTGTCAGAAACTCTCTGCTGGCTATGATAGAACCCTGCCAACAAGGAAACGAAAGACTGCTATCTCTTCGCCTCCACAACACAACCGGGCTAGTAAATCTAATCCGTGTTTACTCTCCCACACTCAGTGCCACCACAGATACCAAAGATGCGTTTTACAACGAGCTCGACTCGCTCATTGAAAAAATTCCAAAAGAAGAGAACTTGATATTAATGGGCGACTTCAATGCTAGGGTGGGTGCTGATCACAACTCATGGCCTTTGTGTCTCGGCAAGTTTGGCATTGGGAAGATGAATGAAAACGGGCAACATCTACTAGAAATGTGCTCGTCCCACAACCTCAGCATCACGAACTGATTTTTTCAGACAAAACCACAGCGCAAAGTGTCTTGGAGGCATCGCCGAGCCAAACACTGGCATTAGCTGAACTTGATTATCACAAGACGTTCATCCATAAAGGGTGTGCAGCTTACTCGTACATTCCACAGCGCTGAGTGAGACACCGATCACTCTCTAGTCTGCTGTAAATTTAAGCTTCAATCAAAGAAGATCCACTACTCTAGGCAAGTGGGTAAAGCACACATTGATGTGAGCAAGACGTCATATCCAGACAAGGCTGAAGAATTCACTTACGCCCTCTCTAAGGCGTTCAGTTCAGAACCTCCCTACAGCAGTGCCAAAGAGAGACGGGACAACATCAGAGATACTGTGTACAGCGCAGCCACAAGAATCTTTGGTAAGAAGCAGACAAAGAACAATGACTGGTCTGACGCCAATTCCGCCACACTCATGACAGCAATAGAAGAGCGTCGCAGTGCCCACCTGGAATACAAGCATTCTCCCTGCGTGAGGACATTACATGCATATAGGTCTACCAGAATCAAAGTGCAGAGGTTAGCATGGCAATGCGTCAATAAATACTGGCTTCTACTCTGTCAGAGCATCCAGTCAGCAGTACACAACGGAAACATCAGAGGCATGTACAATGGCATAAAGAAAGCAATGGGTCCAACGAAGAAATTGATAGCTCCACTGAAGTCTTCTGCAGGCAAACAGATGGTGCGCTGGGTGGAGCACTACTCCGAACTGTATTCCAGAGAGAATAACCTAACCAACGATGCCCTCAACGCCATTGAAAACCTCCCTTGTTTGACCAAACTGGATGAGAAACCTACTGAGGCAGAACTAAAGCTAGCCTTAGAGAAACTGACCCCAGGTAAAGCCCCCGGAAAGGATGGTATCTCAACAGATGTCATCAAGTGTGGCGGCTGTGTGCTGTTCACACACCTTTATGATCTTTTCTGCCAGTTCTAGGTTGAAGGAGCAGTATCTCAGGACATGAGAGACGCTAACATCATATCCCTGTATACGAACAAGGGCGACAGAAGTGATTGCAACAACTACAGTGGCATATCACTTCTCAGCATCGTGGGTAAAGTCTTCGCTAAAGTCATCCTAAACAGACTTCAGACGCTTGCCGACAGAGTGTATCCAAAGTCTCAGTGTGTGTTCCGCGCAGAGAGGTCCACAATGGACATGATCTTCTCCATCAGGCAACTACAGGAGAAGTGCAGGAAACAGGCCCCTCTTCCTGGCTTTTATAGACCTCGCCAAAGCATTCGATCTGGTCAACAGAGAAGGACTCTTCAAAATCCTGACGAAGATTGGATGCCCTCCAAAGCATGAAGACATGAAAGGCACAGTGCAGTATGCTGGCTCATCGTCCGAACCATTCAACATCCACAACGGAGTGAAACAAGGCTGTGTCCTTGCCCCCACGCTCTTTGGCATCTTCTTCGCTGTCCTGCTTAAGTACGCCTTTGGGACGTCCACATAAGAGATCTGTACACGCGTTCACAAAACAGACTGTTCAACCTGGCACGACTGAAGGCAATGAGCAAAGTAAGGAAATCAACCATTAGGGACATGATCTTTGCAGATGATGCTGCTATAGTCATTAACACAGAAGCTGAACTACAACGCCTGATGGACCGCTTTGCTAAGGCATGTGATGAATTCGGGTTGACCATCAGCCTAAAGAAAACCAACTTGATGGCTCAGGACGCAGACCCTCCAAGCATAATCATCAACAACTAGATGTAGACAGTGAGTTTACTTACCTTAGCTCTGCCAACACCAACAACCTCTCACTCGATGCCGAGCTCAACATGCGGATTGGAAAGGCTTCAACAACTCTCTAGATTGGCGCAGAAAGTGTGGAACAACAGCAAGCTGACATTGAAGACTAAGATCTCCGTGTACCGTTCTTGCGTCGTAGCACTCTCCTGTACGCCAGCAAAACTTTGACCCTGTAGGCCTGTCAGGAGAAACGACTGAGTGCCTTTCACATGCGTTGTCTCCGTCGCATACTCGTGATTCCCTGGAGCGATCGCATGACAAACAACGAGGTGCTTCAACAAGCCAAAATTCCCAGCCTGGTTACACTCCTCCGCCAATGTCGCATCAGATGGCTGGGCCATGTGCGTCGAATGGATGATGGACGGATCCCCAAAGACCTTCTCTACACTAAGCTTGCCTCAGGTAGAAGATTAATCGGACGGCCACATCTTCGCTTCAAGAATGTCTGCAAGCAGGAAATTAAAGCTCTTGGGATCGAGTTCAACAGGTGGGAAGTGCTTGCCCTCGACAAGTCCAGCTGGCGACATGCTCTGTTAACATGTCTGAAAACCAGCGAGGAAAAGTTACGACAGCTCGCGGATGAGAAAAGATAGCAGAGGAAGAGGATGCAGTTCCAACCAAGACCTGACTCAAACTTCAAGTGTAGTAACTGCAGCAAGGATTGCCACTCCCGTGTGGGGCTTTATAGCCACAGAAGACGCTGCACAACTACAAACTGGGACATCTTTCATGGGCGCATTTCCATCGTCGCTCGAAACTAACGGAAGCCAACAAACAAAGTATATTCATGTGACATCACAAAATCAGTGGGAAACCACATAATTAATCTCGAAACTTCTTTATCCCCAAAACTGAGCCATAGAGCACCATTTTAAGTCATATTTTTAAAATTATGTTTACTAATTGTCAATACGTACGTAAACATCTATTTATAGATCGTATGTAATCTGCGTTCTTAACAGATTCAAATGACGAACATAAGTTATAAGAAAATATTCTGTGTACAGTTAACTACCATTACGAAAATAAAACAATCATTACCAGGAATTACAAAAATATAGATATCCATAGGAATACAAAACGCCTGTTCCTGGATCAATATGACATGGGGCCAAACATAACTATTATCTATCTATCTATCTATCTATCTATCTATCTATCTATCTATCTATCTATCTATCTATCTATCTATCTATCTATCTATCTATCTATCTATCTATCTATCTATCTATCTATCTATCTATCTATCTTCATTTCAAATGTCGTACGAGCATAGGCCCTATTCGAATATATACAAGAACATATAAATGATGCAAAGACTCTATAAATATATGCTAATAAATATTACTAATAAGAAAATTATGAGTAAATATGTTGACACGATTTGGCCTTTTTCCCAATGACACGGCGGT